GGGAGGGGAGGAGGGAGCGAGAGAGATATGAGTTCACATATTTTTAAAAATGTCTCTAAATCCTCACAAAAAACTATACCTCTGAAAACTTAAGAGCTACATGTATTTAGGGTCAGTGTCATAATTATATATATTATTTATATTATGACTCTGAGAAGGGGACATATTTTATGTTATACAAGTTTTTTTTAGAGGTTATATTTCTTTCCTCCCCCGCCCCCATGTAATTTCTGACTATAGTTTTGCGGTTTCGTTAACTTTGTGCCATAATATTATATTATATATTTGATTTGCATACCCGACAATAGTTAGGTGCTTTGCCGTCGCACACAGAACATCCAAGTATGCTTCCTGTGTCTGTGTCGATAGTGCCATAAAACACGTACTCAACAAATCAAGCGGAGTCGATAGTGCTATAAAACATGTACTCAATCAATCAAGCGGAGTCGATAGTGCCATAAAACATGTACTCAATCAATCAAGCGGAGTCGATAGTGCTATAAAACATGTACTCAATCAATCAAGCGGAGTCGATAGCGCTATAAAACATGTTCTCAATCAATTAATCAATCAATGATTCCCGTGTGGGAGGAATTTTTATCGATTGTCTCGATTTTCCTTCTGGGATGACCGTGATGTGTCTCTCTCAACCTAGGTGGACTCTGAAAGGTAAGGTTGAAACCCGTCTCTTAGATAATCTAAATTGTATCACTGGTAAGGGGGGGGGGGGGCAGTGTTGCGTAAAAAACTCTTGCATTTGAAAGAAAAGAAACTTTTTCTCTTTGTGTGTATGGTCTATAGTCACTCTGGCGCTGCGCGGGCAGGAGTGGACAACTTGACCAAGTCGCTGGCCTTGGAGTGGATCAGCAATGGGGTCAGGGTCAACAGCGTGGCACCGGTAAGTTGTGGAGACTCAGACGCTGGGAAGATGGTGGAGCTAGATCTTTGGGTATGGCGCTAGCCTCAGGGGTTGACACTTTTGACACTATCAGTTGACACTTTTGACACTATCAGTTGACACTTTTAACACTGTTAGTTGTCTCTTTGGGTTGACTTTTTGGAGACTTGTAGTTGACTTTTGTGGTTGACACTTTTGGCACTTGTAGTTAACTCTTGGGTTGACATTTTTACACCAACCGTTGGCACTTTTGACACAAGGCGTTGGCTGAGGATACTCTAAAGTTGTTGGATTTTAATTTTCCTCGATTTCACTCTGATTTGTTATTTTTTAAAATTTTGCTTGATACATATCCATTTGCTTTATAACTGGACTATTTTTTTCGAATTTTTTGTTTTTTGGCTCTCTAATTTTTTTATTAATAGTATCCGTTTAAAAACACATTTCTGTGTAGATTTTACTGAGAAATTCTTAGGAGAGAAACTTTGAAGGCCATTTTCTTGCTAATTTTACAGCTGAAGCCAGGTGACCCCCACCTTCTTCAATTGCATTATCTTGACTTCTATTCAAGATAGATGGGTATTTTAAAAAACAAACGAAAGCAAGACAAATAAACCAGTACCGCCATATGCCCCAAAATTGACGAGGGCCTGATTCCACTGCATCGTGACTTGTATGCTTTCGGGTGACTTATTAATCAAAGAGTAATGGTCAATTATTGTAATTGTCAGATTCTCATCTGTTTGCCTTATCACAAATGATATAATTTCAGTTCTACCATGGACAATTTTTATCAAATATTTTCATTTTTCTTTATAGATGTAGTAGCTTTCACTGTCAGGATTTGGTCCTTTCAGGAAAGTTCAAGGTTGTTTTCTCGTCATATAATGTAGAGGGGGCTTTGTTCTTTAAACATTTCTTTTATATGTTGTTTTAGGAAGTGTAAAGGAACGTACACATAAACAGTGAACAAACTTTGGTTCGTATCTGTCTATTGTCTTTATCTCCTCTCCTTCTTTTTTTGTGTTTGTTACTCTCTTGTAACACCTCTAATCTTCGGCACTTATATGACCTTATTGTGTTGCAAGTGCCGTAAACTCTTACTAAAACTAAAAAAAAAACTGTCTTCCTCAGGGCAGCTCCATCTACTCTGAGACGGCCGCCGCAAACTACGGCAGTGCTGACATCTTTGAGGCCGTGAGGCTGCAGGTTCCAGCACAACGGCTGGGCACTGTGGAGGAGGTCGGTGGTGGTGGTGGGGAGGGGGAAGGGAGGGGGGTGTTAGACTCGTAATTTCGTGGGGGGTTTTGGGAAGTTTTTTTTTTATATGTGAGGTTTGATTATGATAAAGATGACATGATAAACCACACAACTGGTGAATGTTGGCCAAACTTTAAAGATTGAAAACTGCCTCCTGGTGTGTTGGCTGATTTTTACTCCTTTTTTTACAGTGGGTGGTTGGTGGGCGCTCTGGTGTAGTGTGTCCCTTCTTTCCTATTCAAACATCTGTTATCCTGATCTCTCCTCCTTCTTGTCTTAGCATGCTACCCTCTATTAACACTTTTAATCTTTGAAACTTATATGAGCTATTTGTGAATTTTGCATTGCAAGCGTTTTAAAACTTTTACTGTCTAAAATTTAAACTTTTTCCACTTGATGTGACCTGTACTTCTGAAGCAAAGAACATTATTCAACATTAATCATTTAGATTTGACTTCTATAATATATAATTTACTTTGTCCTCTAATCCGTGAAAAAATCTACAGTTCCTGGTAGGCTATTTATTTTAAAAATGACATTGGCAGTATTTAATAGTTATTATTTCATGCTTCTTGGTTTGAAGACCAAGAGAGCCCCTAGCCACTTGCAGTAGCATGGCATTATTTGACATTATATATCCTGGTATCTGTGATTGTAATCATGTTTCTGCTGGCCGGGGTCAATAAAGATTTATTTTCCTTTTCTCTCTTGCTGTTTACTTATTCATACTGATGGCTCATGAATAAGAGTCAAGTTAGTAGTGTATTACTGTGACCGGTCATGCACACAGGCTTATGCTTAATGACCCGTGGATCAATAACAACTGCTGTGCTCTTTTATCTTTACTGGTGTGGATTACCATGTAAATTTTACATGTCTCCCTCTGTATTTCTCCCTCTCACTGAGCAATGTCCGCATAAATATGTCATGATGGAAGTTGTATAGATAGATCTTTTCTTTTTATGTCGGTTGATCTCTCTCTCTCTCTCTCTCTCTCTCTCTCTCTCTCTCTCTCTCTCTCTCTCTCTCTCTCACTGTCTGTCTGTCTGCCTGCCTGCCTGCCTGCCTGCCTGCCTGCCTGCCTGCCTGCCTGTCTGTCTGTCTGTCTGTCTGTCTGTCTGTCTGTCTGTCTGTCTGTCTGTCTGTTTGTCAATCTGTCTGTTTGTCAATCTGTCTGTCTGTCTGTCTATTATTCTCTCTCCCTCTTTCTCCAAAAAAAATAATACGAATGGATAGCATCATTCTGTATAGTGCATTTCCACCCTGTCTTCTTTTTTCAAAAGCAAAGATACCATAAAAACAAGTCTTTAAGCCTTCTTTCTCATTCTTGTGGGTCGTTGGCAGGTGCTGTGGTGTGGTTTGCTTCTTCTTTCCTATTAAACAGATATCCGCTTTATCTCCCCTCCTTCTTTTTTGTGTTTGTTTCTCTCTTGTAACACCTCTAATCTTCGGCACTAATATGACCTTATTGTGTTGCAACTAAACTTTTTCATTCTCCCAACACACTCTGCCTGTCTCTGTACCCGATGTTGAGCACCTTAAGACCAATTATAAACTTCTATTTAATTTTTTTTTAAAATCTGATGAGACTACTTGTTCATGATGTACTTCTCTTCTGAGATGTTGATATAGACTGCTCAGTGCAACACTTTGTCATACGTGAGGCAGTGTGGGGAAATCAGGTGCTCGTCAAAATAATCAAAGTGAAGAAACTGTCATTTTTCCACAGGTTTGTGAATATTTATCCATTTTTTTGGATTACCACTTTCTTTCTTGCCCGTTTAAGAACACATTTCTGTGTGAATTTTACTAAAAAGCATTGATTAAAGGCATACAAAACGTTAATTTTCAGTTTCTACAGACTCTCTATCAAGGAAATAACTAATCTTTGGCGGTCATTTTCTCACTAATTTTACCCCTGAAACCAGGCGACCCCCACCTCCTTCAATTGTAAATATTTCGACTTCTTTTCAACATAGATGGTAATTTTTTTCACCAAAAAGGAAGGCAAACGAACAAGTTTTAAGATGATATTATTGGTATAACTTCACATGAACAAAAATGGACAAGCGCCTGATTCCACCGCGTCGTGACATATATTGTTTCTGCCTGTTGTGCTTATAGTCACTCTTTTTCCCTAAGTGTGCGTTAATTTTTTCCCCACAGGTTGTTGGTGGTTTGTGGGTGCTCTGGTTTGGTTTTCTCCTTCCTTCGTATCAATATCTATCATCCTAATCTCTCCTCCTTCTTTTTCTTGTTTGTTACTCTCTCGTAACATCTCTAATCTTCAGCACTTATATGACCTTATCGTGTTGCAAATGCCGTAATACTCTTACTAAAACTAAAAGTAAACTGTTCCCACAGGTTTCCACTGTGGTGTGCTTCCTCCTGTCTCCCAGCGCCAGTTTTGTGTCTGGCGTGGCAGTTCCCGTGGACGCCGCCCACAGTCTCTACATGCAACCATCGTTCCGGGTCCCAGGTATGTTTGTGCATATATGATATATATATGCGAGGTATCGTGGTGAAAGCAGGCACTCGTCAAAATAAAGAAATTGGAGAAACAGACATTTTTCCTCCAGTTAGACAATTTTTACTGAATTTTTGTTTTTTGGCTCAAACCCTTTTATGTCCGTACAAAAACATATTTCCGTATGAATTTTATTGAAAAACTTTGATTAAAGTCACAAAATATATGTTATTTTTCTTTTTTCCAGGATTTTTTATCTATTGGAGTTGCCAAACTTTGGCTGCTATTTTCTGGCTAATTTCATCACTGAAATCAAGCAACCTTACCTCCTTCAATCACAAATATCTGGACTTCTATTCAATGTAGAGATGCATATTTTTTTTCATTGAAAGCAAAAAAATTAATACGCTTTCAGTTGATACCAATAACTCTGTATGCCCAAAAATTGACGAGTGCATGATTACACAGTGTCATAACACATATGTGTGTGTGCATGCCTGGTAAAAGGACCCAGTTGTCGGCAAAGCTATATTTTTTAACAACAGGGTGAAAAGGCCCAAAAAAGTCGTATTAGGTCAAAAACTTAGTTCCTTCGTAGAACACATATTTAACATTATGCTGAAAGGATTTTTTATTATTTAAAGTCAAAGTATTTTTATTATAAATTAGTTTTGCAAATGTTGTTCTTAACCAATGGTTACAAATAGGCCTATATTAGAAATTTGATTTTTCTTCAAACTTTGTTTTTACTCCCTGCGTTACAAAATTTGGCATATCTTTAAAACTTCCCATGATATTTGACAAATTAAAAAATCAGCGTGTTCAGCATTGCATTTGCTATAACTATAAGAATATACCCTTAGACCAATATCCAACATTTCCGACAACTGGGACTTCTCTCCAGGCACACACATACATATATGTGAGGCATCGTGGTGAAATCAGGCGCTCGTCAAAATAATGAAAATAAAGAAGCCGGCATTTTTCCTCCCAATTGACCATTTCTAGCTCACTTCAGCTTTTTGGCTCAGAACTTTTTATGTCTACTTAAAAACACACATATGTGTGGATTTTATCGGAAAAACGGCAAGAAAAGAGTAAATTTTCAGTTTCTTATCACTCTCCAGTTATGGACGTCGACAAGCTTTGACGACAATTTTCTCACTAATTTCGCCTCTGAAATCAGGCGACCCCGTCTCCTTCAATCTCAAATTCTCTCCTTCTAATCAAGCCAGATGAGTAGCTTACTTTTTAAATTGAAAGCAAGACAAATGAAGAAGCTTTTATATGATACCAATAAGCTCCACATGCCTAAAAGTTGACGTGCGCCTGATTCCACCATGTCGTGACACATATTATGTGTGGTCAGCCAATGTGTTTGTTTCTTGAAATGGTTTGAGGGTTTTTGTGGGAAGCTGAAGATTTTTTGTTGGAGCAATGTTTCTGGAAGAAGTGAAATTCAGTCAGAGAAACTTTTTACTATAATTTGTGCACAATGAGCATCTTATTATTTTTAAATTTGAATATCAAACTTTCAAATTTTAGACAATAGGGCCTACTGTTTCCTTACAGTGCCAAAGTAACTTCTTTCTGAATTTTGTGGCTTTTTGAATGACATTCTTCTTGACTATTGTTATTATTTACTGACCCTTGTCTGTTTTTTTTACCGAATCTATGCATGTACATTTTAAATATTTTTTATCATTAACTTAGTTCATGGGGAATTCACTCCCAAAAGCTATTGATTTCTTCTTTATTTTTGTTATTCTCTTTGGTCTTATTTGTTTGTGGTTTGTAATTATGCATTTTGTTAAGAGGATTTATCTACCACCTGAATAATTCTCAAACCATTTGCCTATTTTTGCAGTGGAATCCACTTATAACGAGTCCTGAAATAACGAGAAGTCTGCTATAAAGGCACAATTCTAAAACCCCATTTTTTTCCTTCTTTATCTTTGTAAATAAAATGCTGCTATAACGCAATCAGACAAACATTCGAGTCGGTTATAGTGGAATATTGCTAGTGCTGTGCACAGTGCATAGGCCATTTATTCCTGTAAAACCTCGCCAGCTGTTGGTGATCTTGCGAAAAAAGAATGGGAGAGCCCATGTGTGCCCACAATGAAGGCTGAGCGAATGAGTTGGGAGGATTAGGATGCGGTATACACAAACAAGCAGACCGCATCGTGTGATAGGCCAGCCTAGTCTAGACTTTCTAGGCCTGCCGTGCCTCTCACTTCTCCGATGTGGGGTCACAACGATGTGACTATGATGGGATGGATGGAGCGAATGTGTGACGTGCCTAAGGAGACAGGACACACCACAGGGTGTGGTGGGGTGGGGGACAACACAGCGGACGAGTTAGCCAAGAGAACTTTATTTCTGATCGCCAACGCTGAGCTGTCAACATTGCTAGTGCTAGAGAAAGAAACCTTATTCGATTTTTGATCAAGTAACACCTAGAGATCATGTCGAACCAAATCATCATTAGGAGAGATTACACAAAAAAACGAACAGACAACCTACTGCACTATTTCCCTTGAATTTATTACTGGATCCCTTAAAACGAGAATCCTGCTATAACGGATGTTTCGCACCGGTCCCCTCCCTCTTGTTATAACAGGATTCCACTGTATTTGATTTATGCGAGAAATCACATACATATCTATCTATCCATTATGATGTTATGCATTTGCTGTATATTTTGTTTTTGTGCAGAACACCAGAACATGCCGGAGTACACATGGGAGAAAGATCTGGCAGAGCAACAGAGGTCAACTTTGGGGTCAGCAAGCAAAGGTCAAGTCAAGGCGAAGTTGTAGCACTCAAAGACATTTTAGCAGATTGAGGGTTGATTGCTCAAAGTGCTTATCTTCAAAGTTCTAGAGATACTCACTTCGTGCACTGAGCGGACATCAGTGTTGAATGTTGTGTTCTTCCAATTACTATGACTGATGGGCCATACCATTTAGTCATCTTGTTATGAAAGAAAATGTCATTTATTTATTTTTTATTTCACCGAACCCTGGTTATTAAAGGGGACCATCAGCCTAGCTTTAAAAAAAAAATGATCATAAAAGTGAACTAGTAAAGATAAAAGGAGTTGAGACTTTTCTCAGTATTAACTACTTTAAGCCCTATAACCCTTGGAGACTTAATGTAGGACTCATACGCCTGAGCTCCCTCGGTTCTACTGCTAGGTTTACACTGCCTGGAAGGCCAGTCTGGGCGGAGAGTTGTTGTTGTTGTTATCGATCCAGCAACAGCTGGGCTCTCGCCCTTCTGTCCAATGCCATGTAGTGATAAGTGCAGGTTTGCTGCAGTTGCTGTAAAGTTCCATAGAGTGTGTTGTCAATGTTAGGTCTCGGAGGGAGAAGGGTAGCTCTGATGTCATTTAGGGCTGTGCAGTGGAACAGGTGATGATCCAATGTAGCGGGCTGAGAGAGATACAGCGTCTTGCAGAAAAACTTAGACATACAGTGTAGCCTCTCTATAACGACATCGTTGAGACCAGAAAAAATGTCGTTATAGAGGGCTGTCGTTATAAAGAGGCAACCAAAAATATTTTTTATGGTATATATATATATATGGAAAAATTGGGGCCTGGGCACCATGTCGCTATACAGAGGATATCGTTATGTCGAAGATCGATAAAGAGAGGCTGCACTGTACTCAATAGAAATTTTTCTTGTATGGGAATTGAACTCACATTTTCAGCATGGGATAGTATAGCGCCTTGCCACCACACCACAGTCTTATTGCATGCCCCATATTCAGAAGGACTAAAAATGGTGTTTGCTCTTTTAAATGAACAAACTTGTAAAGTGGAAACCTGATATAACAAGGATGGTGGGACCAGAGAAAAAGTCCTGTTATATCAAATCACTGTTTAATTAAAAAATGCAAGGGAAGTAAGCATTTGTTGACTAATCCAGCTGTATTTATTCATAGGTTGTTTCCCTTGCCACAAGTACCTATGAACAGGGGTTTTGGCCATGTGGCAGGCCTGCACATGACACATTACGCGTGCGTGTAGCTAGGCTTAGGGCTAGATCGAAGTCTACAGAAACACCGCAGCCCTCTCTCGCTTCACCCGCTGTGTATGCTTGCAGTGGTGTGGAAATTCGTGTAAAGTGCCCTTCTCAAGGACGCAACGTCGGGCCCGTGGGTCGAACCCCTGAATCCGCAACCTCATGATTACGATTACGAGTCTGATAGCCTAACCACTAACTAAGCCACCTATGCCATTGTCATGCAGGAATTGGCTCGATGCAGCAGTTTTATGAATGTGAGTAGACAAGTTATTGATCTGGATATTAAAAAATGTCTGTAGTGGTATGCTGGTATTGTAGTCACACCATGAAGCACCAAGAAAAATGATCAAATCAGATCACAATAATGATCAGGATCTGTTTCCTACTCTGAGATTTCCACCACCCCTGGGGCAGTGCTGCTGACAGGAGTATCTTTAGGCCATTCCCAAAGGGGGGACATTAACCTGTTCCTATGCACAGTAGAATTGTATACTGGCCGATTCATCAATGTCAAACTCATAACTGCCTGAACTGCAAAGGGAACTGCTGCTTTTTCTTTCCTAATCTTAACTATTGTCATTTTCCCTCTAATGTTTGTCACATTCTTGTGACCCGCTATTTCAGCGGTGCCTTGATAGTCGAAGCAGACTGTGTGCTGTTGAAGGTAGAGAGGTGAGCAGAGTAAGTAAGGACTTCTCTGTCGACATCCACCCCTTGGCGCTCATATGACCTTATGCAGTTGCGAACGCTGTAAAACCTCTACTAAAACTAAAACTGAAATTTCCGCCCTGATACCCTCAGGACCAGGGTTCAGTGAGTTCTTTAACATTACATGCATTTATAAAAATAGGAATGAAGAAATGTGTGTGATTTTGGTTGTTTTTTGTAATTGGACTGACAGCTGGGCCCTGTTCAAATGTTGTGTTTTTTGTGCTTTTATTTCAACTTTAAAGAGAGTTGTTTGTACAGACTCCACGTGCTTTCATAATGTTTTCTCTTCACAAGATTATGTGCAAATGTTTTTAGAAAACCACATCTCGTGATGATGTTCAATGGTAGACTTGTTAAAATGATTTCTGTACATGTATGTTACTAAAATTTTTTAGTGAAGAGTGACTTTTTTAGCCTCATTAAAAAAATGCCAACAATTTTTTAAAGTATAATTATGTTTCTTCTAGTAGGGCCTTCCTACTATCTACCTGACGGGCCTACATGAGGGATTCCGCAGTAATTTTATTTGTGTATGAATGTGTAATGTAAGTGTGATTGTTTTTCTAAAGGCTTTGAAGATGTTTATTTTTCTTTTATGACTTGCACTTGCCATTATCCTTGTCTTTTCCTTTGAAAGTATGCCATTGTGATATAACGAAGGCTCTTTGTGAACTGTAATTTGTACACTTTAACTCTTTATCTCCGGCTAGCCGCTCCCAGTGGCTCGCGGTCGGAACCACTGTGCCGGTGAGCTGCCGACAGCGGTTTAGGCACATTCCTTTACGACGACTTCGACATCAAATTACTTTTCGGCAAAATTTCCGAAAACAGGTCTCTTATACGGGAAGTTCATTCATTAGATGAAAAACTGTCAAAATAGGTTTGCTAGTTTCGATTTAATGATGTTTTTGTCATTTTTAGATTTAGCACCAAAAAAGGGCCCCGGCGTAGTGGGTTTACTCCCCTCGGAGATAAAGAGTTAACTGACGGAGGAAGCCACAGATAGGGATCACAGGCTAATGTTTAGCTAAGAGGAACCTCTTTTTGTTTTAGTCGGGAAAATACGGCAACACTGGTGTGCACAAAACGCTCATGTTATTTTGCTCAAACTCAGGTATAATACATGTACTACATGATGCTGCTTCCTTCCCCCTTCTTTTCCCTTTCGCCCAACCTCAGGCATTATGACTATATTTACAAGTGCATATATGTACAAGGGAGTCGGGCAAAAGTTCAGAATTGAACTCTCTTAATCTCAAAACGACAGTAAATCGAAAGAAAAAAAATCCCCGATTTTTTTGCTTCTATTCGAGCAACCTCTCTATACTGAAAAATCGTGCGAACTAAATTGAAGAAAACCCAGGGGTCCTGCAGCTTTTGATTTTAGTGGACTCCACAATATATCGATTTCTTTATGTCATTGTTTATTGGCATTGGTCTGTCTGTCTTTCTTTTCTTTCTTTTTTTTTCTTTTCTTTCTTTTTTTTCTTTTGAAACTCTTTGTTTTCGTCCCAGTTGGATTCTTTGAGCTCTCCATTTTTAAAAAAATCTTTCTATAACTTTATTATACATGTTATCTTCTAGTATGTTGATTTTGTGATCAAAGAATTGCAAAGATCATGGTCAGGGGAACAGAACTTGCAAAAAGGGTAATTAAAATAATATATCAAGAATTAATATACTAGAATATTTGTTGACTTTTTCGCTGTGATTTGTTTGGGTGTTGTTCCATCTTTTTGGTGGATATAATTTGCTTTGACTGTTTTCTCAAGTCTGCGTTTCTTTCTTACATAAGAATTTATCTGCTGCACGCTGACAAAACGCCTTTTTCTTATTCACAGCAGTTTCAAGATAAAAAGGCGTTTGTCAGTGTAACCATTTACAAAGGGCAATCTTCCAAAATTTGAAAGCAAATTTATTTTAAAAACTAGTCACAGTTTCACTGATGGTTTCCCTAAAGAAGGGTAACTGATCTGGCTATTCATTAAGCAATAACACATTTTTTAAATGAAAAAAGGGCGTCTTGTCAGCGTACGGCAGTCATGGTAGTTGGAATCAGTGGCAGTTCATTGTAGACGCCCCCACTGACAGAATTTACATTGCTTAGCAGGCAGGCTGTTTGGACTCAGCTTGTCTGTGTCTACCTAGGCTGAATGGGATGTACTTCTCCTGTGTTGAGCTTGCTTGAGTTGATCTTCAGTTAAGTTAATCATATTTTTCTCAGGTCCCAATACCTCCTCTTCACAGATCCCATGGTTAAGTTGAACTTTGCATGAGTTGATCCTTTTTTTCAGCTCCACCATGCCAAGTGATAGTAGCGCTCCGACCAACTACATCATGCCGAGGGTGAGGCCACATTACAAGCGAGAGAGCAAGAATCAGAGGATATATAAGAGATATTTCTGTTCAAATGGCCATACCATGAGCGGTTCCCACACGAGTGTCCTTAGCACTGAGCGAGACTATACTTTGCTAAGTTTCTTCTCGCCTCCTGCTCGGCTTGGCTCATTTTGCGACAGCGCCACTACCCTGTCCCCACATTTTGATGTTTGTAGATTTCATCCCCTTGCTGTTTAGACGTTTCCATGTGTTCACATGAATCTCGAAAATTACTCACCCCATCTCTTGAATTGTGTTTCTGACCCACAGGCCAGTCAACTCACCAGTTTTCACCTCAGTTGTTTCCCGCTAGCTTACCAGTTACTTCCAACTTAAAAAAAGCAGCTCATAGTATGGCCACCCCAAAGTTTATCTCTCATCGCTTGTTTCATCTCTCGCTTGTAATGTGGCCACACCCTAAAAACCGATGATGATTTCATCTTATTTTGTTCTCTCATTTTTGCACTTAGAGCAATGAGCATCCACAAAAATCTCTGATGTGAAAACTTACAAAAAACCCTTTTAACACTTTGCCATCTCATCTCGCTGACTCGCGATGGTTAACACCCAGTTCCTTTGGATTTTCCCCAAAATAAGGCGGCAAAGTGTTAAGCACTGTGAGACTGTTTAAGAGAATTGACCTCCAAATTTAACCTGTACTGATGACTATACACAAAATAGCCATGGAGCTTCAATACCCCCACCCTCTCCCTCCACGCAGCCCAAGTACACCCCTTTGAGAACTTGAACCAGTGTCATCAACACCCCAGTCCAGCATGATATGAAATATAAACACTGACGACTCTAGACGTACCAAGCACAAACACACAGAAAATGAAATTAGCAGTCACAAAAGTCAGTCAGACAGACAGACAGACAGACAGACAGACAGACAGACTCAGAAAAAACAAAGGGAAAGTAAAGAAGTAGAACCTACAAAAAGGCCCATTTCAACCACACACTTTCCATGAGAGCATACACTCACAAAGTCAAAAGAAAACAGCCAGTTATCATAGTGACATACAAAAAGTGAACAAATAACAAAAAATTTTTAAAACGCAAAGTCATCTCAAACAGGAAGTAGACAACATTTATAGTGCACAGCGGGAAACCTGTCATGTTGTCCTGAGATCAGACTAGTATTACTAGTAAGCTGTGAGGAGATAGGGGAAAATCAACACTCGCCACTACCACCACACAAACTTTCCTACGAAATTCACAGCATGCAGAAAAACAGCAGTAACAAAGAAAAACAAATCATAAGAATAAATGCAATCCCCAAAAAGAGATAGGCTACAATGATAGTCGATATGGGCTTATAATATTATTATGGTTATTTTACATTTCGGTGACCTCTTGAGTATAGAAGCAAAGTAAAATGGCAGCATAGACAACAAAACTACAAGTACCAAGCAAAGATACATTATTATTATAATATATGTAAAAATAGAATTAGAAGTCAAAGGTCCTACATGGCAAAGACACAACATGGCAAAACTGTCCATTAACTTCATGAGGAGTAAATAATTGTAGTAGAGGATTTGTGACTGGATCATTTCAAACTAAGCATGCGCACAAACAAGCGAGTGTAGTACAACCACACGCAGAAGTCCACACAAATAAATGCAAGCAGCACAAGGAATTCGACTTGAGTCTACACAAAAAGTGCACAGTTCAGGTCAAGACTTATTGATTAGGGCTGTAAGGTCAAAGTTCTTCCATCAATAGACCTGTCAGTCCAAGGAATGTCAGTACAACAGACACATTGTTATAATGGAAAGTCAGATCTGAGACAGTTCATTTTGGCCAAATTGCAAAAGTTAGCAAAATTAGTTCATTCTAGTGGTTTGCCACGCTGTTTAGAAATTTTGTATTAATTCTGCAACTCTAAGTTTCCTCAGAAATCTCCTTGCCTTTATGTAATTTTACTAAAATTGTGATCTGAAGTCAAAGAACAAAACAGTTATTTTCTGAAAACAACAAACTGTTTCTGGCTTTCAATACTTTCATGTAACCATGATTTAGTGCCTGAAAAGAAAAGCTGAAATCTAGAGCAAATTTATTATCAAATCTGATTGGGTATTTTGCTCAAAAAGGAAAAAGTTGAAAACTATACAAGTTGTACTTTGAGACCCTTGGCTAGTGACACACACAACCGAGTTCCTATCTGTCAAAGTTGGGAGTAGGTGATCAAACTTTTCTGAGCAAACAGCTACTTTAGACATGAGTATGAGCCAATGGAATACCACAGTGTGATACACACAGACTGACAGTGGAAAATAACAGGCTCATGAGAACAAGATCGACTTTTGAATTCTTTCACTGCACACTAATCAGAAACACAAGTACACAGTAATTTTTTTTTTACTGTCTATTAATTGTCTGTTAATTTAAATTGGAAGAAAAAAAATGCTTGTTATTATTAGCAAATTTTGCAGTCCAAAAATGCCAAATGAATATGTTTTGTCTAACAGAACAATGATTTACAAAATCTTACAGGGCAAATATGAAATATCAGAAGCCATAGATAGAGATATAAAAAAATAGCACAACTGACAAAACGTGAGTACAATAGGTGGGAGGATCCCACTCAAAGACAGAACCACGATATTTAAGAGATAATTTTGTGCATGGACACATGACATATATAGCACTAAAGAAAACAGGCAAACAAAAATCTAAGATGGCATATATAAGTATAAGCAGAGCAGAAGCCAAATCTACTGCGATGTTTTCTTTCAAAGTACAAACTTGAATGGTGGTAAAATGGATTTACGGAAATCTCCAATAGGACATAGATATTTATTGCAACCAAAATTTTCAGGAACAAAATAAAACAAATGGGAAACAGTTACAACAAAGGACACAAAGAGTAAATGAATCGGGAAGACGCTCTCCTCAGCACCTCAGGAACAAATGCATATGTTGAAGCATGGAAAACCTCCCTTTATATCCGGACTACTTCTTTGCACAAAATCTAGAAAAGTTCTTGAGCAAAAAATAACAGTCCATTAATCTAACATAATCAGAACTTAATCAAACAAATTGCAGATTTTAGTATTTGTTCATACAAAAGGGTAAAAAAATAAGAAAATTGACATCAAAGTTTGGGAACCCCCCCATTATTTTTTACCCCAATCTTAAAAAACCAGACAAGTCCAACACTTTCAGTACTTTCAGTCTCTCTACAATACTCAACTGAGAAAACTACAACATAGTATCATTTAAAACTCAATATTTGATCATATGAGAGCAATCGGTTACTTCTCAATTTGTGCAAACCATACTACTCTCTTTCCTCGGACGTACTGGCAGGTATTTTCATAAATGCATACCCCAAAAGTCTATCACTGACTGCAAACCGGTTTTCAAACTCTGACTCATAATTACATTAACATTAACTAAAAACTGTCTATCAGCTTATTTTTCAGCCAAAAATTTCATTTTCGGTGACAAATTTAAAGCACAACAATCCAACAATGTACATATCGTTTGGAAAAAACAGTTTGGAATGCTCTAAAAATTGAAAAATATCTAAAGAACTAGACCTAAGAATGAAAAGTTTATCGTGAAATTAATTTCCTGGTCAGTTTACTATATGTCCACATTGAGAACTTAGTGTGGTCTAAACCAGACAGAGACCGAGTGTATGATGACATGTGAAGAAAATGACCTCAAAAAACCTCAATCATTTGCAAATTCAAAGAGTACTTTGGAAAATAGAAGAAAAAAAAAGATTTAAAAAAGGATGCACTGAAGACAAAACTGGGGACATGGCAGCAACAGGTACATGTATGTATGGTGTTTGCCTGTCAATCCACAGGTCTAGAGGTCGATCCCCCCCCCCCTCCCAGTGTCAGGTTATTTTCCTCATGTTTTCTACACCCCTTGATCCTAGTACACTAGTACACTAGAATGGGCATGAACTAGCACATAGTCTTCTCGGAACAGGACGGGAAAATTTGAAAGCCTCAGGTAGAGTTTCACACATGGCAGATCCCTTGGTAGTTCTAAAATAGAAAAAAGTAGGCCTTTTGAGCCACCCGCACGAGCAAAATTCAAACTTAATTTCTACCTAAAACTGGAGCCACTCTAGTCAGTATAAATATTTAGGGTACCTTCGAAAATGGCACACGCCTGCCTGTCAGGCAAGGGAAGTTTCTACGTACTATGTAGATAAAGTGGCCATGTACGTAAAAAGGGCACAAGAAGGAGAGAAAAACCATATAATCACAGTGTTTAGCCTCTTGACATTGTGAAAAAAAAAAAAAAAAAAAGTGGAGGCAGATTTCCAAAGCACAATGATGAAACAGTATAACAAGCAGCAGCAGTACATTCAACATTCTCGCCGTCTCACACAAGAAACAGAGAAGCACCACATTGAGAAACAACAGTGAAATAAAAGTATTTTGAAAGACAGGTTGACGAACAGAAAGGAGCATGAAGAGATATTAAGACCTCCGTGCCGTGGTGCAAGAAACTGTAATGTCGGTGGTGTTCCATGCAAACTAGCCAAATCTGGTATAAACATAAAAACTTCTGACATCTAATCTGGGGACATAACATGCCACATATTATATTGGAGATGAAGTTTTTACTTTATGAGCTAAAAAAAAAGCAGTCCAGAAGCTCTCATATCCCATAACGGAATACAAGAAAGAAACAACTCTTTTGAGGCAGTCTTTTGACTCATGAAAAATTTAAGTTCTTAAAGTCTGTTATTTTGCTTTTCAGTCTTTGCTTTACATCCCCACTGACACGATTCAGAAGCCAGTTGCTTCCACCCAACTTATCAGGATCAACCTGGGCTGCGTGGGATACGACATCCCAGCAAACAGACGGAAATGGTCAATAAAAAGATTTCCTCCATAGAAATTGAACTCACGTCTTCTGTATGCTACAGCAAAGAGCCTAACTGCCACAGACCCAGACCCAAGTACTTTGCTTTGATCACCATCAACTTACAAGTACAAAATGGGATTTCTAACAACTATAGAAATATAAACAAGAGAAAAATAATAAAAAGACAAACTGTCTGATAACACTAGGAACCATTACATTATGAAACCATGGGTGAGCCCATTCAGTTTCGTAAATTGACTCTGGAATCCAGAAACAAGCTAGCATGAAGTCACTTTACGTGGATCAAAAGTTCAGTTCACTCAGCACTGACACAGCCCAGGTGTGAAATTTTAACATATCAACACCAGGTATGGTAAAATTAAAGAGCTGCCTCTTTAAAGAAAAAGAAAAAATATCCCTCACAGAATTCACTTGCATGCAAGACTTTCGAAACTACTGGCCATAAAATCCTCCAAGTTCAAATTTGTAACAAAAATGCCGTTAAGAAAAATAAAACCATTCATATCAATAAAGCACAACTGGACAGCACAAAAGCACTAAACTGATATAGAGTGAGGTATACCGTTCACATGACATAAATTGAGCATGAGATTCTTTGAGATTCATGAGGTCCAATGATGATGATAAAAATGAGATATACCATATTATTACCAAAGACCACAATACCTGCCCACACTCTTCAAATATCTCACAGCAACTCAAGCAAAGACATCTATCAATGTCAAACTTACACTCAAAACCTAGCAATGCTAATGGTACAATGTAGTCTATTATTACAAAAATCACAATGTAGAAAAAAAAAAGAATTAAAAAAAAAAGAAGTAAGATAACATTATCGCCAAAATATTATTGGATCATTTTCAGTAAGCTCAGATCTTCGGTATATAAAAAGTACCTTTAACTTTTTCAACATATGATGTGCTATTCCCATATTCAGATATTATCTGTGGTCATTTTGTCCAGCGAAACCCAAACAGACAGAGCCAGCTATCATCAACCAATGTATTTTTGAGGTTGCCTCAGCCTTGTTTCCAAATAACCAAGATTTTGAGTAAGCGTTCTAAAGATAACGACTCCTCTTTTTTTTATCTTTCATTTCCTAACAAAAACTAAGCTTATTGCATATGACCCGTATGACTATACATTTGTTTAAAGCAATGGGTACAAAAATATAGACAACTGTTAAAGTTAAAGCAAACAAACTAAACCGTCATAACGCTGAAAGCAAATAAAAATTCAGATAAAATAACAACAAATGGAAATTAGGTTAAAATAAGTCGAAATGACAGAAAATAAAAATTATGTTAAAATACCACCACAATGAAGAAAAAAAAGTTGAAACACCAGCAAACAAAAATTAAGTAATACAACCGTTGTTTAAATATCAACTTGATTATGACGGAGAGCATAAACGTACAGGTTCCCAGCACATACACAAGCCTGGAACGTATTGCACATACACAAGCGGACTACTAGAACAACAAACATAGTAACACACAGTCACAGTTATTATAATGGTGCTTGGCTAGCAACTAAAGGAACGTACCTACGTAAATCAAAGCAGATATTTTAATAGTTCAATTCTAATTCTCATTTCACTACAATGTAAGCTATTACTGCATGTAACAGCGACGTCGATATTGAGCAGCCTGTCTAAGTAGGTCATGTAAACGTCAAACAGACTTATACGATACGATAATGTGGACTTCACATTAATAATAACGATTCCCGTGATCACACTTTCTAAGTGCAACATAATTATTGATTACATTGCAAGACAAAGGCAAAATAAAATTTTAAAATACGACTCAAGTTAGCAGGCACACGATGACAGCTCTAATTATATGCTTATTATTGTGTACATGATGGCTATCTTATTTCCACACAAGTCAGAAAGTCAAACTCTCCTATTCCTAATATCTAGAAGCATGCACAACCTCCAGTATATCAAAACACAGTCTCAGGATTTTGCTGCGATTACACATAAAAAGCTCACCGGACCAACAAAATTCTTACATCAAAGGGAAAGCAGTGACATTGCGATTTGAAAATGAAAATCATTTGAGTGAAAAAAATGTTTAATTCGATATTAAAATTTTCGAAAGTTTAAAAAAACCATAGAATTGCAACCGACAGCCGAAACTTGAAACTTGATGATTTCACCCCCACTGCTACTTTAACGTAACAAACTGTTCCACTCATCTATTCTAGTGTGTCATTCCGTCAAAACACTGTTATTTAAAACCACACCAGAAGAATTATTGGCTTCTGTATTGGTACTTCTGCAGAAGAAAATTACTACTAAGTAAGCATCAAATGTCAAAATATCGCCGTTGTTCACTTTCTTTCTCAGCGGGTCCTATCGTTGTTCTTTGCAGTCCTATCGCAGTCCTTTCCCCGTTTTTTCGCTGTCCTCTTCTCATCCTATTCGCTGTCCTATCTTTGTCCTTTCCTCATCCTATTTGCCGAAATGTTGCAGACTTTGAGGCGCCACCACAGGGAACTCTCCCATCTTCCTGGCTCGAGGATGTGATAGCGACAAACTGTCACTGCTTACAGACCTGCAGGGCAAACAATGATTGTGGTCGTAGTTAGTTTTAGTTTTAGTAGAGGTTTTACGACACTCGCAACTGCATAAGGTCATATGAGTGTCAGAAGATTAGAGGTGTCACAAGAGAGTAACAAACATAAAAAAGAAGAAGGGGAGATAAGGACGGAGATGTGTCAAAGGAAAGAAGAAGCAAACCACACCAGAGCACCCACCAACCACCCACATTTTGGTCGCAGTTTGAATTTTACAGCACTTGAAATTCAAAATGGACATAAAGGCGCCGGAGGTTTGAGGCGTTACAAGAGGAAAACATACAAAGAAAAAAAAGTAGGAGAGATAAAAATAATAATTTGACAGAAAAAAAAGACAACCCAGACCAGACCACAGGCAAACCACACACACGCATAGAGAAAAGAAGGCAAAATGAAGAAACAAGGGGACAATATGACACACAGCAGTAACATTCGTTTAGGAGAGTGCCAAAAGAAATAGCCTTTTCATATACCAATTCAATAAACAAAATTAGAATTTTTTACTTCATTACGTCCACGTTCCAAGAAAAATATGGGGCCTCCCTTTGATTTTTCATTTACGCGAGTGAAAAAGTTTTCAGAGACTCATTTGTTTCACTAATATGGTACTTTTAAGTCTGAGGCACCCCCCCAAAAAAAAAACCCCCAACAAAATGTAAAAAAATAAAATAAAAATTGGAACGAAAGAAAAAAAAAAAGAAGGAAAATTGTCATGTCATATCAATTATACCTTAAAAAATTACAAAAAGAGGATCAATGAAACCCCCCCCCCCAACCAATTAGAAAGTTGACAATTCTGTTGTTAGAACAGTGACTTGTACAATTGGAGAGAGAGAGAGAGAGAGAGAGAGAGAGTGAGAGAGAGAGAGAGAGAGAGAGAGAGAGAGAGAGAGAGACAGACAGACAGACAGACAGACAGACAGACAGACAGACAGGAAGAGAGAGAGAGAGAGATGGGAGAGTGGGGGACAGAGAGAGCCCGCGTGCGTGAGAGAGAGAGAGAGAGAGAGAGAGAGAGAGAGAGAGAGAGAGAGAGAGAGAGAGAGAGAGAGAGAGAGAGAGAGAGAGAGAGAGAGAGAGAGAGAGAGGAGGGGGGTCATAAGCAATAAAATGTTTCTTTTAAGCCTAAAACGTAAAATTTAAAACAAAAGTGAGCACAATATGCTGGTTTTAAAAAAAAACAACTTAAAAATAACCCAAAAAAACTAAACGAATTAAGAAGCAAACAGAAAAAAATAAAATAAAAATAAACAATGAACATTATTTTTAACTTCTAAGTTTTAATAAGTGCTTTACGGCACTTGCAACACAATAAGGTCATATAAGTGCCGAAGATTAGAGGTGTTACAATAGAGTAACAAACACTAAAAAGAAGGAGGGGAGATAAAGACAATAGATGTTTGATAGGAAAGAAGAAGAAAACCACACCAGAGCACCCACCAAACATGCATATTTTTAACTTCACTGCACAAAGAGGCCAACATATTCTAAGTGGAATTGCAAGTTTGCCTTTTTAAAGAATCAGTAACTTGAATTAATGATTAAGAGGAACAGGAAAACTTAGGAGGATAATTCGGAGTTGGGACAAATGCACGTTACTGTTTCATTCTGAAACTTTGTATTCACATATAATAGACACATGCATAGCTTTTAAAATTATACAACAGCGCACTTGAATATTATCAAAAGAAAACTAACTAGAAACAGTTCAAGTTGTAGGGTCAATTAAAATACTCTATGTGGTCTTCTAGCATGGAAGTAGGATTAAGATTACATACACTAAAACTAAAGCTTACTGCAAACAGGTACCATACTTTAATAGCTAATAACCCGGTCATGATTTCTTGACAATAGAGAATTTCCTATAAATGCTCTGGTTACACTCTATGTGGTTTTCTAGCGTGGAAGTAGAATTAAGATTACATACACTAAAACTAAGCAGTCTATAAGTAGATAAGCTTACTGCACAAAGGTACCATACTTTAACAGCTAATAACCCGGTCATGATTTCTTGACAATAGAGAATTTCCTATAAATGCTCTGGTTACAAAAAGGACTTCCAACATATAGTAAAACAGACCAACATACAACATGCAATGTCACATAATCAGCACAGTATATCTGAAAAAATCCACTAAAACCAAACCCCTTAACTATACATTATTTAAAAGGAAATGACCCCTCATGTAGAATAATCAAATAAATGAATACGAGAAGAGCAGCCATAATTTGTAAAACACAAAGCACAAATACATACACATGAGCAATCATGAGGCACATGTAAGAAAGAAAAGGTCTTCTACTGAATTCATTGAGC